GAAATTAATTCAAGTGTAAACCCAGTGATACTCACTGTAGTCTAGAAAAAATTTAGTTCCTTTGACTCCTCCTCTATTTGGGGGCTGGCTTTCTAGAAGTGTAGGTCATTAGGAAGAAGAAAACCTTCAGTTCTTCACTCTAGTGTATGGCAACTTTCCTGGTTATCTTTTCTTCTATTTAATCTATTTCCTTGCTGCTTATGTTAAATCTATTTTCCTTGTTTCACTCTCAGCAAGAGCAGTGGCTGATTATAAATTATTCTTCTTGACCTAATTCATTCATTAATCTTCTCTTATCCAGGCTACTCTAGTCCCATCTTTCATCACCCATCCCAGTTTAATAAGCTCATCACCACTGTCATAGGAATCTTTCAAGCCTCTGGCAACACTTCCACCCACCTCAGTTCATATTTGTGTTACTTAGTCTCCTGTTTTAATGCCCAGGCATAATACAGTTGGCTCACTGTGAATTTCTGGAGATCTGATTACCCAGCTCATAAAATGCCAAGTCACGTGTTCATTTTGATTTGGTTTCTTATAACCAAATACCTGCCTTCTGATCTTTTCACAACTTAATACCTTAAATGAAAATATGCAGAAATTGACCAGGAAAATAACACTCAACCCAAACCATTTTGGTGGACATGGATGAAAACCCATGACTTAGTACAGTTCACAGATTCACTGCGGTTTATTGCAAGATGGATGTGTTTAAGTTATGCAAAACAGAGCTGTGGATGAAAACCCATGACTTAGTACAGTTCACAGATTCACTGCGGTTTATTGCAAGATGGATGTGTTTAAGTTATGCAAAACAGAGCTGTAAAAACTCCACTCATTTCATGGTGGTGACAGAGTTTTAAAATCTGTGTTTATCCACAAGACTTATGCAAGAAGGAATCTTCCAAAAGTGGATGCACACTGTTTGGATACTCCCTTCTACAGAACCATTAACCACAGGAGGTGAACTAGCTTAAACTAGCTGTCTGACAAAGTTTTCTTCCAGAATGTAGATGTGCCAATAACTTCCTGAGATATATCATCACAATATCCTCTAGATGTCACCTTGAGAACATTCCAGGATGGAAGATGAGTGTGTACCACACATACAACTTGAAATAGATACACTGCAACTTTGCAAGCCTGGATCAAAGGGGCTGATTGAAAAAAAAAAAAATTGTGGTCAATTACCTCAAAAATTAAGTAGTGCTCCAAATTAAGTCTAATTCATAAACTGATTTTTTTTTCTTTCTGGTAGATTTTCTTTATGGCTTCTCCCACCAACAGAAACAAAAGAAAAATCCTTCCTTCAAGAAGTGTTTCTCATGGATCCTGATTTCTCTTGAATCCATCTTTCTCCCAAAGGTCTTCCCCAAAACATTTTCCTGTTTCTAAGGCTGCTCATCTCTCTATTTGAAGCATCTGAGGGAGGAGAGTGTAGCAAAGTTTTAAGGCAGATATTAGTTATTCCTGGAACATTAAGAGCATTTAATTGTGGATGGTTACCCAATCAATTGTTTCTTAATATGCCAAGTCTACAGCAGGCCAATAACTGACTCATCTGGCCACACGGTTCATCCAAACTAAATGAGCTGTCAGGTAATTCATTAAGGATTTTAAACACCTGAGTGCATTAAATCAATCTGCAGACTGGGAAGGAAATTAAGGAAGTCTTTTACAAGTGACTTCAGGGAGATCTGCATTATCTAGGGTGTTATTTCTATTAATATAGACAGACTTAGCCTGGGGTCTGATTTTTTTTTAAATTACAGAAAAGCCAAGGAAAATCCATCATTTACTTGTAAAAATAAATAGTATGTATCATAGAGAAGGTTTGCAGAGTCAGTCTCAGGATATCTAAGGGAATCTTTTCTGACAACTAAAACTTACCCTCAAAAATATGAGACTCCCAGAAACAAAGAAACAGGTAACTGGAGAGACATGGAGAGTGAGACCGAACCACGCCACAAAGCTAAAATGACTGGTGGCTCTCCTGAGGGACAGACCTCGAGGCCTACAGAAGATCGTTAGCAATCCCCACACTGCGTTAGCCTCCTTTGGGTATGGGGCAGTGCCTCAAAGGTGCTCCCTGATTATGACCTGCTAACTTCCTGGACTGTGTGTAGAGGCTGGCAATGGCCAGAGAAAGGAAAGAGAAAAACAACTTATGAGGGAATGTTGAAAGAATTCTTTAAAAATAGCCTTCCTCTAGTAGTTCCATGAGGACTACTTCTAAATACAAAAACAACTTCCTTTTAGAGATCTGTATAACCTGTTATAAGAAGAAAAAAAAGAGAGGAAAAGAGATGCTTATTAATTTTCTAGTAAGGATACATGCTGCAAGCACCTTCTTTTGGGGCCAGTTGCCAACTTTTTTCCGAAATATACATAAAAATAATTTTAAAATAGAGGAGAAACCTTACTTATGCAACATTCCCAAATTATACTATTCAGGAAATATTAGCAATTATATATATCATCATGCAGAAAAATTACATGTTAAGCAAAATTCCGTAATAGGAAAAAATATGCTCAATATTTCAAAACATGTTTATAAATTAGATATGTATTCTGACACCTTCTTAAATATTGCTAGATGAAGTGTTAACAGCAGTGATTCTAAATTCTCAGAATTGAAATTTAACAGTTTTCCCTAGAATAATACATTTAATGAGAAATTTATAGTGAAAGAATCACACATAGGATGTTTATATCTTTGTACAGAAAAGTTAGAATACTGATTCTCAGAAATACTTCATGTCTTCTTTGTTTCTATCATAATTTTTGCTAGTAATGATGGTTTCCATTTTCATCTGCTCTCTCATGCCCAATGATAAGCATTTACAAATATGCAGTTATATACAACTATTAATTAATGATTTTGTGCAAGGCACTAGAGGGACTTGGTCCCCAACTAATCAAGAATAGGAATAAGCATTTATGAAGTCAGACTGTAAATCTTATTTTTGAACCTGAAATGACAATCATTTCCTTGCTTCCAAGATCCAAATTAGTAAATGGAACTAAACAAACTGTTACACTAAATATTTCATTTTAAAATCATTGACTAAAAAAGATAAATCCAAGAGAAATGAACGAAGGTGACTCCCAGAACCAATCTTCTGTACATATCTACTTATAACCCCTCAGGGTTCAGGCAGCCACAACAGTTAGATAGACGGCTGTTCCTAAAGCAGGGCAACGGGGAGGAGATGCCTTTTGGTGTTCAAAGTGAGCCTCCATCCCTAACAGGCTGGCTTCCCCCCTTCCCTGAAGAGTGAAAACCAGTCCTTCCCACCCCACAGATGCAGTAACTGCACCAGCCCGAGGGTTGGGGGATGGCCTGTACCAGCTCCGTATCGGGTACTCAGGTCCGCCCTCAGTGGCTCTGTCCGTGGGGGCAAAAGGACAGGTCAAGGAAGGAAATCAGATGCAACCAAGCCTTGAGACCTGCCAGGTTTGTCAAAAAGGAAAGAGAAGGGATAAAAATGAAAACAAACCAGGTCAATGCAAGGACATTCAAGACATTCAGCAGGACAAAAATTATTTCGCCCAATTCTAAAGGCACTCCTGGCACTGAATCCAACACCAAAGGAAGCCCATGAAAGTAGTTTGTGAAGCAAAGTTCAAATGTCTTTCTGACTTGAGGCTCAAAGCTTTCCCCACAGAAAACAACCCATGTGAACAGGTAAGTGCCTGCCTTTGCCTGAATCACTGCAAAGCAGGAACTGTGACATTAACCTTGTACTAGTTGGGAGACATTTCATTTGTGAGGTTTGTTGTCACCAGGAGGGAAAAGTACTTCAAATGGAAAGCAGTGACCCGGTAAGGGTCATCATCAATCACCTGGGGTCAAAGACCTTCCCAATTTAAGAAGAGGCAGGAGGTGAGGGAAAGAGGGCAGAGAAAGATCAAAAGGCCTTTGATGGGGGTTATCTACCTACACAATAGAACCTGCAAAATGGAACTTCTCTGGAGTTTGAAACCTCCTAGTTTCCAAGGTGAGAGACTTCAAGAGGGGTCTTTGTTGTTTTTTTTTTTTTAACTTGGGTGCTTAAGATGAAGACCAGAGTCAGCAGATGGCAGAAGAGGCCTAGCGGCACAGGTTTACATGGCTGCCAGTTCCAAGGTCTATCTCTGCAGATGACTAAATACTATTTTCTTCTCTAGAGCAAGTACTGGTAGGGAAAGGGAGGGGAGACCCTGCCAGCTCTGCAGGTGCCAAATGGCAAAGTGGCTCAGCTTCAACTGCCTTGCGATACTGTCGCTGATGCAAGTACACTCACTTCTTTTCTCTTTGTAGAAGGCAATCAAACAGTGAGGTTGGGAAGTAAAATCATGCCCCTTTAGGCCACTGCCAGTTGAAAAGCAGTCAGGCTCTGTGGGATCCTTGCTATTAGTGAGGACATAGTTTTTGCTACTGTTCTCATTGTTTTAATGAACCCGAGATGATTAAAGGAACAGCTGGATACAGAAGGACAACCAGACTAGAATGCTGTGTGAACAACTCCACTGTGTAGAGTCAGAAGAAGGGAAGGGACAACCTTAACTCAGAAAGAGACAGTAAAGGAGAGCTCCATCAAAAGCCTTGTTTACCCACTTGAGAAACTTTTTTTGTGGCACATTCAAGGAGAATCGTCCATCCAAACTAGGCTCTGTCCTATTTCCAGGATGCCTTTCCCTATTAGCTGCTGAGTGGAGTTATTTCAAGAACACAAACAATATAAGCTTTTTAAAAATTTACTGAAGATGTTTATAAAAGTAATTATTTTGAGAAACAAAATATATTGCAGAGCAATATAAATGGCTTTCTGATTATGGGCTGTTCTGATTAGCCACGCCCTGGATGCCTCCAGCCTACTCCCACTAGCATGGATAATTGAGAATCTGCTGTATTTCCATTTTAACACAGTCTCTCTAATATATTTCAGGCATTCAGATGGAAAATCAAGTCCTTGAATATCATTTCACCTTACATGAATTTAGCACATGGCACTAACCTCTATATAGTCCAAAGAAGCCTTCATAGCGCAGCACTTTCTTAAAACAGTCAAAGCTATTTTTATACATAAGTTCTCCCACAAAAGAGCCAGTTGATCGTTGGTTCTGCATTCGAGTTTTTACAAGATCAATAGGATACACGGCAGTGGCTCCAACAGCTAAAATCAAATAATACCAGTATTTCAGATGGGATTAAGGTCAGTTAGAGGAAATGGTTAAAGTCAAAGAGAAGACTGATAAAGTCAAGGAAACACATTAAGCACATATGGATTTTTAAAACTGCTTTAACTTTCTATACCTTTAATCAACAACTATGAATTTTCATTCAAGTGTCTCCCAATAAAAGGATGTCACAGATATTTCAAAATAAAGAAGCACATCACCACAGCCTAACCTCATTATCAACCTGTCTTTGGAGTACCTATTTGCACGTAAGAGAGAAAAGCTACTTCTAAGTCTGTGATCACATGCAGGTATGGGGAAACGATTCCCTTTGCTCTTACCACACTTCATAGGTACAGACTGATAAACAGCTTGGGGATAGACAAGAGAAGACTTTTGTCCTTCAATATTTCAAGTTGGAAAATCAGAGAAAAAAAAGGAAAATGAAAAATTTGCACCCATCAATGACTAACCTCCAGCAATAGAACCCAGACCAAACCTATAGGCTGACTCTGCAACTTGTAGGAGAATTGATCGTGATGAGTTGATGGAGGCCTTCTTCTTTGTGTGCACAGGGATTGAAAAGTGGGAAGACAGAAGAAGAGAACAAAAACAAGCATGTGTTAGTTTTTTTTTAAACTGAGTTGTAAATTCACACTACAACTAAAATGTCACAGAGGAAGGTGGGATTAGGTTCTGTAAGTCCTTATCAATGAAAAGTTATTATTACTGCTAATATTTAAAATCAAATTTGAACATAAAGAAAGCCATTACGTACCCTCCAAAAAGGTTACGAACCGATTTTCAAAGATTACAACTCTCAATAGTGACCAAAGAGAACAAATTTAAAAGCACTCATGTAACATCATTCTTCATCAATTCAATTGGTAAGTTTGGAATTTTTTGTTGTTGTTGCTGTGGTTTTTCATAGCAATATACAGCCTAGCAAGAGCTGATAAAAAGAGGGCTTCTCAAACCTACCATTTAAGAAAGTATAAAATGAAAGGAAACTTGGTTTATACACCCAAACTCTTAAAATGTATACAACCTATGACCCTGTAATTCTACTTATAAAAAGTTAGGCAAGAAAAATAACCATGTAGGTAAACAGGGATCAAGCTACAAGAATGTTAAAAAGCAGTAGTTTTAAGAGTAGAAACTCCTGAGAACAACCTAAATGCTCAATATAAGGAGGACTAGTTAAAAATAATGCCATAGCCTTAAAACAGAATCATGTCCTTAAAAATGATACTGTAAAAGAATATTTGATGTTACTAAAAATGTTCATAAGGTATTATAATGTGAAAACAGGTTAAAGTGAATATGGTGGGTAGACAGGTATTCATGACATGATTATCTTCACCTTTTTAAAAAATGTTTGAAATACTTCATGATAATCTTTTAAAAACTATTAAAGACTGTGTGCACTATGTTATATTTTATAAAAATAATTTGTGGCTATGTATATGCTTATAACAATAATACTAATTTTTTGGCTATCTCATCCCCACAAATACTCAAAACGTTCACAATGCTACAGCTAGGTGGCTGTATTACAAGTGATTTTTACTTTTTCTTTTTTTTTCTGTCTTTTCTAAATTTATACTTTAGAGGCCAGTTGCTGTTTACTGTTGTTCCTTTGACCTGTTATCCTTACAGTGTTTCTGATGCCAAAACATTTCAGAGTATTGCATTTCTTTCTCTATATAAATAAAATAGTAGTTGTATGTCACACAGAGTTGTCATAGGAAGGTGGCATATAATTAGTGCTTAATAAATACCTGTTGAATGAATAAATACATTCAATAAGATTTGTTTCTTCAAATGCCATAATTAAAATCAGTTAACAATGAGGATAATTACCAATTCCAGCTATCAACCCACTGAATTTTAGTTGCTGTCAATGTACCACAATTTCAATACAATGAGATTATTTGGAATCTCCTTCAAAGTCATTTAACTGAAAATAGCTTTACATAGAAATATGCATCTGTAAGAATGTGAAACATTTCTTCTGCATATTCCACAGGTGTTTCCAACTGCATCCCTGTATAGGTGGAAATCAATAGTGACTTCATTTTGACAGATGCATCCATATGAAAAGACACTGTTTTATTTACATGGGTCTAAATATGCTACACTTAGGAAGGTGCTGGCATTAAAATAACAAGTGAAAATACTTTGAAAATAATGGAGGTGGGAGGAGATCTACCACTACCACTAATTCTTCACCTAGAAAACAAAATACACAAAACCCCAGACTGTTAATCTTTCTGAAGACAGAATGCAGCATGCTTGTAAAAGAGATAAGAAAGGTCCCTACTGTACTCCAGTAGAGGATAAATGTCACCACTGAGTCTACCAGGTGGATGACCTCCATTGCTTGAGTCTGTCAATGTTGTCAGGCCCACTGGGGTGTACAAAGTAAAGAATATTCCAGGCAAGGCCGTTCTGAATTCCTCTGAACCTCTAAGCAGCAGCCAGTTGTTTCCTGCTGTAAATCTCATCAATGTTGTCTAACCCGCTCACGGCCAGTATCAACAGGCACCCACTGTAAACAACCCCAAGCGGCAGAGGGCACAGAGAAAAACTGTGGGATACCACTGCCAGCTGGAGAACAGGAAGAACCTAAAACAACTTCTCTGCTTTTCACTTTTTCTTAATCCCAAATTTCGACAACAGCGAGTCGCATAGAGACGAAGAGGTAACAGTCTGGTGGTAAGTGGGGTTTACAAATCAAAGGGAGGGGAGAGCAATGTTGCTTCCACCTCTGCATGTGATTACACAGTTCTCTCCCCAGACTTGGGGAAACCGGCTTCCCCTTTTAACAACGCCCAGCTGGCCTCCCAGAGGTGCCTAGTTAGGATTTACTGAGCACACACCCACAACTTTGAGTTACATGCCGCACACAGACTTGCCACTGCATTTGGGTGGGAAAGAGCTGCAGGGAGGGGGTCCTGGCGCGGGGCCTGCCAGTCCTAAAAATGTAGCCCACATCAACCCATTGTGGTCAAACTGGCGTCTCTGCACAGACCCAGAGTTTCAAGCCAAAAATTGTTAAGTCTCCTAGGACTCAGAGATGGCTTTGTCTTACAAGATGTATTTTTCTACAATGTTGCCTGTCTGTGAGTGGATGTAAGCACAACACATGCCATGAAGGCTTTATTCTCTAATTCTGATCTACAGAAAGCCGAGCAAGGGTTAAACAGGGAGGTCCCACGTCTTAAGTTTCTGACTCCCACAACTTCAAGAGATTGGTTTCTGTTAACCATAAAATAAAATTTAGCATTCCTCAAATTGTTTCCACATAACTTATGAATCCGTTCACAGAGAAAATAGGTCTAAAAGCCTTCAAACTATTACTCCAGACTAAACAAAATTATCTCATTTTGATATTCAGAAAAACGGAAGGCATGGCAGTTAGACAATGCACTGACAAAGGACCTCTCTTCGGAGCAAGGATGGCTTTCATTTAGCGATGCGCTGCTTCTTTGGGACAGCAACACCAGAACAGGACCCCTGACCCACATCTCTCAACGCAAGAATTTGTAAGAAGAAAATATATGCCTATGTGGGGAGAGTTATGCTTCCAGTGCAGTTAGGAAATCACCCCATCTTTGGAAGAAACAAGCAATTGCCAACTATATATATGCTAATCAGAATATCTCTAAATAATTTCTCTTTACAGCCTTTTGAAATTGTCTGGATTTCTGGTACAAAATGGAAAGATGGTAGGTCAGATGCCAGTGCCAAAAAGACACTTTGCAAGGGGGACAAGTCTGGGGTGCCTTACATGGGGAAGCACATTTGCCCTTTTTGCCCACCTGTCTCTGGGCCTCAGCCAAGTTGAAGGGCAGAATGCTCTCTTCCAGAGGAGCTATTCGTTCAATGTCTGCTAAGGTCATACGTCTGGGAGGAAAAGAAAAAACAAACACAAGCAGCAACCAGATAAAAATTTATTGAGATTTACACTATGTAATTTTAAAATGTTCCCCTTTTTGTTTCTTGTATTTCAGAGTCCTCTTTAATTTGGCTTCTTTTTCTCCTGGTTTGCTGCCCTCCTCCTACCCCCACCTCCTAACCTCCTTTTATTAAGCTAATTTAAAAAAAAAAGGGCCAACTTACCCCCGTGGCTCATATAAATCTGCTAACTGAAACAAGATGTCAACTTCCATGGGTGTAACCTGACCGAATTTCTGAGCTGCCAGAACAAACTCTTCTGTATGGAAAAAGAGTTAAAAGGGAAAGATTCAAGAAGGAATAGCCACTAAATGCAGCATTAACTCAAGGCATTGGAATGAGTGAACATCACAAAACCTTACTATCAGTTGTAGAATTCAAGTCAATCCAAATAGGGTAATAATTTTTGCTGTTCTTCATAGTGTACATGAGAGTGCCTCTAACATTGATTTTAAAAGCTTGCTATTTCTCAAACTGCAGGTCAGGGAAAACAAGGAAATAGATATGGAACTTCACAGGCACAGGTCCCAAGAGATTATATTATTGACACTGTGGAATTCTTAAGGGAATTCTCTGTTTTAAAAAGAAATCCCATTAAAATGTGGATATCTTACTCAGAGATTGTAGATCAGCTTACACTGTCACCAGTGTAAGTTTATGGAATTCCTCATACACTTCTGAAGGCCACTTTGGAGACTGCCAATGTAGCTCAGGTTCTAGCAAGATTTGAAGACCTTTAAGAAATTTCATGTGGTTCTCTCATTCTCTCATTCAAAGACTGTCTTTGGTTTATTTAAACACTTGCGGAAGATTGTTTGCTTTTTTCTGTCTGATCAAAGGATGAAGGACACACCATATGGTTAATACGTGGCAATGTAGTACAAAAATCTCTAACATAAACTCTTGGTTGCCTTCATACACCAAGATACTTGCAGGCAAGAACTCCGATTTAGTCTCACTCACCCTTAGTCACCTCTACGTCTTTCCTGCTGCCAGCCAGAGTGCTGTAGATCTTTCTAATGAGTTCCATGTTGTTTAAGAGCGAATTAAATCCATTAAAATAGGAGAAACTAACTTGATGGGACGTGGTACCTCCAGCAGCCTCACATAAGTTGAAAATAAAAGAGAGGAGAAGAAAAATAAACAAAGTATTGATAGAATGAAGAGAACTCAGAAGTACATTTGTCAAGGGCTAGTTTGGTGTATAATCAAGAATATATGTATAAGAAGTGGCTGTATTTTTCTTTCACATTTAAAAAAAAAAACTATAAATGATTTTTAGAAGTAACTGCAACTAATCATGACCAGAACTTGTACTCTCCTCACAAAAGTCCTAGAACACTAAATAAATACATGTGTAGGATTATAACAACAGGGCCAGTAGTAATTTATAGAGTTCAAATTTCAATTGGAAATGTTTTATAATTTTATTTCATCTAATGAGCAATCCTTAAGGCTTAGACATGCAAAAGTATATTATAAAATTATATGTATACACAAATACCTAAACATGTATGTGCTTACACATGCAAAACTCTATTTTACCAACACAAACTATGAAAAGGGGTCAATCTAACATTAATATCATGATTTGTTATATTACTTCTAATTAGCAATAAATAATCATTTAAGTACAGACTTTACTTCATGGGGTTTCCAGCAAACAACTATAGTATAGTAAAATTATGAAATGTCATATGCTTTCATGGTCAGAATTCTGATAATCAGAATTTGTAAGAAACCGTATTTCTTCACAGGGACAAGGGAAGCAGACAGCATGTCCATTATGAATGAAACTTCAGTTGGGGTTTCAAATTCTATCCTTTCCTAACAAGGCAAAATATTTTTATTAGGAAAGCACTTCTTTATAAGGAAACAACCACATAAATCTTCACTTAGTAATCATTTAAAATAGTTACCATGAGAGGTTAGAATGAAGAGGGAATGGGGAGGACCAAGAAAAGGAACTAGACTAACGCAGTGCCAGGGTGGAAAAGGCTTTGTCAAAATGTCATGTGTTTGAAAAGAGGCACCAGGCAAAAAAAAGGAAAAGGGAAAAATGACAATTTTTCCTGCCTATAGTATGGGAAACCCAGAGGATGGCATAAATACTCCAGAAATCTTCTCCCTGGGATTAACAAAAGTAGAGTCACCACTGCGTTAAGGATTCTCAAACAAGTGATCGCCAGAATTATGTAGGAAGCTGTAGATACTGGAATTCTAGGACCTCACCATCAGTAGATGGTGAATCAAAGTCACGGAGGAGACCTTAGAATCTGTATTTTTAATAATTATCCCTGGTGATTCTTACGCTCCATGACCAAGGCTTGGGAAGCACCACCACAGAATGTTCCGGGACACCCTCTGGTCCATGAGGTAAGGAGACAGACTGGACACCCTCTAGAACAGAAGCTCCAGAGCTCTGGACAGCAGGGCTTTGCCACGTGTGCCACTGGTAACTCAACACGCGTTCAGTAAGTGATCTGCTGGCTACTCAAAAATACTATCCGTGTGCACTATTTTTAAAAATCTTTTTGCTTTGGAGAGTAGATAAAAGCAAAGATCAGCACTTGACATACCTCAAAATATGAAGCAAAATTACATGGGATCATAAATTTTGTGTTTCTTTTTTCATAAAACCAGTCAATACATTTCTTTAAGATAGTCTATATTACCCAGAAAACATTAACCTACTCACTAAAATTAGCCAAAACACATATACATGATCACATTGAGAAAATATTAATGTGTTAACAGGAAAAATTCTACATAATTTGTAAGAATTTTCTTATAACCCCTTAGCTACTGAGCTCATGCCAGGTAAAATAAACTGCTTCACTAGGGCAAGTTACAACTTACAGCTACTAGACATTCTTCTACAAAAGGTGTTAAGACGTGGGGGCGGATGGTGACCATGATGTGTCGGAAGTCAACAGCTGTGACTTTTCCCGTCCTGGCACTGTCCCTTTGCACAAAGGCTTGCTTCGCGTGCTCCAACTGTATTTCCTACAAATAAAGAAAGTGAAATAGTTAATGCATGATTCTCAGTTACTACCAATTACTGCTCAATTTCAAATCAGGGTAAAGAAATAAAGGTTATATTGATTTAATAAGCCCCACCTACTTGTCAAATAGCACCCCACACCCATCCCAAGCTATTATCTCCTTCCAAAGAGAGAACTTTGCTCAGACCAGCAAACATGTCTTAAGAAAGTACATCACACCTTAAATCTCCTACCCCCAAAGAAGAAATCAACCCTGTGCTCTGCTAGAGTCCAAGGATAAAGAAAATAAAAACTGGAATAGAGTTTGGTAGGCTCAAAGATCTGGCCAAACCCAGCTTAGGTGATGAAGGTGATCAAAAGAAAAACACCTACAGGGACATTAACCTCTTTCCAAAGAAGAGAGAAAAATTCTTAATGATAACCTGGTACATAAACATGTGATGTAACAACAGATTGACAAGGGCGGTTCCCCTCTGGAACACGGTCTTCCTCTGACACTACTGGTATTTTGGGCAAGTAAGCCTTTCTTGTAGGGTCTGTCCTGCGCATCTCGACCCTCCCTCTTCCCACTAGACACCAGTAGTCTCTTCCCCTCAAGACCCTGAAAATCAAAAGTGCCTCCAGAGTGGGCCAATGAATGAACCAACTAAGGACCACTGCTTTAGAATTAGAGATCAGACGGTATGTGGGTCAGAGGTGGCAAAACCAGGAGAGATATTTTAGTTCATATGATTTAAAGATAGGAAGCCTAATCTTAGATTTCCATTGCTATCCCTAGAGGATAGGTATATATACAAATTAAAACAGAGCTTTCCATTGAAACCTATGATGTGCCAGGTAGGAGAAGCATCTCTTCTGCAGAGAGCTCTGTATTGTCTTCCTCACTACACTCTGCCCCTTTCCCAAAAGGACCCTCAAAGTGAGATCTAATGTCTGTGGAATTAAAAAGCAGCAATGATGGAGCTCTCAAGGACTTCAAATTATTTAAATGAAAAGAAGTTTTATTAGATAATATTGAAGAATTTTTTTTAACTTTGGAGATATAATGACCTGTAGGGGTATAAAAATGAATTGCGCTTATGAAGTAGTGCAAACTAGAGTATGGGGAAAATGACAGAACTCTGAGACTCTTTAAAGTACTCTATCTCCTTTCTCCTCCCCAAGGAGGTGGGGAGATGAAGGTTGATAAAATATTCATAATTGAAGCTGGATAATGGGGTCATGTTTCAGTGGGTCATTTTTTGCAGTTTGAAAGTGTCTAAAATAAAAAATGTAATAAGACAGTACAACACTAAAAATCAGAATTCTTACACCTATTCCAAAGCCTCTTCTGAGACTTTCTGCCAGTCTTAGGACATCTGCCAGTTTTGATCTAGCCTGTCTCTGCTGGAAACCTCTTCTGGACCACTTCCTTAGTGCCACTTCCAGCTACCCCTTAAATGGGAGGCATCTGTCAGCCCTCTGTCCTCAGTCTTCTCACTCTCCTCTCCTACTCGAAGCCCCTCTCTCAAGGCCTCAAAGATTTCTTGTAAGGCTTGACTCCCAGATCTAGAACCAGAATTTCTGACTGTTTATAGAGAATATTATCCATGTGGAAAACTTGTAAAGGCCAAAAGAATCACTGAACCCAAGACCCTACAAGGAGCCTTGTTTCCAGCCTCCCCAATGCCCGGCCCTGCCAGACCTTCTAGCATCTGGGCCTTTGTCCACACCCTTCCCTTCACCTAATGTAGACTGATGCCTCTTTTTCTAGCTTCTGATATCCTACCACTTTCTCTAGGCTTGGCTCCAATGCCAGCAGTTAGGTAAATATAACTAGACTTCCTAATGGAAAAGAACTGATCTGATCATGTGGCCTCCTGCTTGACCCTCAATTGTAAGATTTGCTTTATTCCACCTTACACTGTGATCAGTTGTTTATACTCCTGTCCTTCCTCCTACCTTCCCAGGGAAAAGGGAACCTGTTCATCCCACTTATGATACAGGCAGATGCTTTAGGTATATAGCTGGTACTCAGTACAGGCACATAATCATCAGCGATGGCTACTCTGTAAAACCAATTAAACAAATCATAATCTAGTGAACAAAAGAGGTTCTCTGTACAACTGCCTGCAACTGAAGACAGAGGAAGGACCCAACTGTTAAACAGCGTATGATGAGAAATGGCCACAGTATGTAATCAAATGAACATAAATGAACACAGTCTCCTTTAAACTGCCAGACCCACTAACTTTATCATAAGCCAAGGTTACTCGCAACAAGAGAAGGTGTGTCCAGTTATTTACCATTCCCCCAGTTTAAAAATCAAGTAGAATCTTTGGGATCCTCAGGCCATTACACCAAAAATGGCACCACTTTCCCTGGTCACCCCATCTCCTCAGAACACAAAGTCCAAAGGGTCCAGAATGCCAAATTGGGAAACAGACACCAAAGTGGGGTCAGATGGTTGCACCGCAGGGCAGAGGACGCCTTTGTGAGGCCGGAGTCACTATGCATTTCTGGGCCTACACTTTCACAATTGAATCTCTACCAGCAGGGATCCCTTGATCATGGAAGAAGAAAGCACTTTTAACCCTAATGGTGAACAACTTGAAAATACATTTCCAATAGCTCTCAAAGATCAAGGACATTACAAATTCCATGAAAAACAAGAATGAGATATACAGTAAGTTCTCTCAGTAGTAGGAGTATCGGGAAACATTTAGTTAAGCGTATCCCTAAACTTAGAAGTAGCTTATTAAATATGAAGATCACCTTCTGAAGAACATCTGTTTATGTCAAGACTCTTACGTCTTTTGAGTGAAGAAATGGAACTATTACCTCAACCAACACAACCATGATAAAAGCATTTAGTGAGCACATATTATGTACCAGACATGGTTCTAAAGCACTTTGCAATAATAAACTCATTTAATGCTCACAGCAATGCTATGAGGTAGGTACTATTATGAACCTCATTGTAGCAGTTGAAGAAGATAAGGTCCCACTGAAAGGAAGTAGCAAAATTGGAATTCAAACCCAGGTACTTCCGCCCCATCAACAATGTTCCCAACATTTTCTTATATTACACGGGAAGCCTGGATAATGCTACTGTCAGGAATTTGATTATAAAATATATTTGACATTCAGGACTCTCATCAGTTATGAGAAGATAAAAATTCAATTTGCTTTTAAATTACTCTTAATGTGCTAGATTTTCCTGTTGCCTATTTTCATGAGAAAGCAATAACATTCCCAAAACTTTCATTAAGTCAAAAATCTTTTATGCACTCAGAGTGCCGTGACTGTTCGCCCAACTAGAGCTGAGACCGTAGAGAAGACCCAAATCTAAAGGACCTCCTGGCCTTGCTCACCGCTTACCCCTTCCTCACAACCTCAAGTCTGAGGAGAACGACAGATAAGGAGGCCGTGGGAGCTGACACACAGGTACTCTGTAAGCATTCAATGCAGGAATGAATGGCGTTTGAAATAAACATCCAGGCTAGCTACTCATAGCAGAGTGACTTAGAATTAAAGCTCTCCACTGGCACCTCAAAAGCTATCTAAGAAAAACCTAACATGTACTTAGGACTACCAAGACCCTGCTGGTTGATAGACCCGAACCCAGAGGGATAATAAAAACAGAACCAGGAGCATTTGGTATGCATGATATAGACCATACGAAAGATAACGTGCATTTCCAAAGTGAGCTGGGAGGGCAGGACAATATGAAAGCAGTAGTTACATTCAAATATTTAAAAGCTAAAGGACTATAATACAAAAAAGAAGCTACACTGGCTCTCTGTATTTAAAAACAAAAATAAATGGACAGAAAATATAGGGATCAGGTTTTAGCACAGAACACCAAAGTGTTTAACCTGTACAGCTATTCAGCAATGTAATGGGCTACCCTGCAAAGTAGTAGGCTCCCAGCCACTGGAAATATCTGTTCCACTCAAGTCTGAGGCACATGCAACAGGGAGTTTATTTTGTGTTATTTAATAGGTGGGGTTATGAAAGAATATGTTATGATGACAAAAATCTGAAGTTTGGAACAGGACTGGGCAGAGCTCAAATTTATCAGTCATGACATTCATGGATGGGAGAGCTTAGGGGTGTATCTGTACCTAAGCCCCAGCAACATCTACTGTACAGGGTAGTAAAAACTAGATGTCATGCACGATAAGCACTTAATAAACAGTAGCTTTGATTTTTGTTAAGGTGAATGGTTTAAAACCCTCTAAAGCGCCCTTCCAATATAAGTTGGTTGATCTTTCAAGAAAATCACCTAGTAAGGAACAGTAGTGCTTCGGAGTCATTCTGAACAAGTCACAGCAACACAGAGGTGAAGCCTTAGAGAAACTGGAGAGTATCAGTAACAGCTAAATGCTTACCACACAGGCCAGAGGCCATGTCAAGAACTTCAAAGACAGTACTTCATCTGAGCCTCACAATCATTCTGTGAGGTAATAATATCCTCATCTTACAAAGAGGCACCGACAGCTCAGGGAGGCTGAGTGGCTAGTCCAAAATCCCACAGATAGATGGTGGCAGAGCTGAGACCTATACTAAGGCATCACCTGATTCCAAAACAGAGATTTTCAGCTACTGTATGTTCCTTGGGTAAGGTCATAAGTATGAGGATCAGTAGGTAGATTTGAACCCATAACTGGAAAAGAGACTTTAAGAAAAGTTTTGGTGATGACTTGTTTGTAAAAAAGAAGCAAGATCTATTTCAAAGAATGCTCACCTTGGATAAGGACAGGAAACCCTACCACAAAGGAAAACATGTCAGGGGGAAGAGACCAGGAGGCAGACCACGATGAGGAACCTGGAGTGAGATAAGCTTATGTTATAAACAGATGTTAAGCTACAAACCAAAAAAAAAAAGCTAGAGGTGCAGAGAAATATGTAAACTTGGGAAATGTAGATAATAGGACCTTGAGGAAAAAAATACTACCCCAAAGGCTAATTCGCTTAGTGAGTTATTAAGTGCATGCTAGTAGGCTCCAGGGACTGCTG